CATAGCAGGTAGTCCAGCATGATGTAATGGGACCCAGACTGAGCAGTGTTTTACTCATGTTTCAATCATTGAGGCAGTGACAGGAAAAAATACCAAGTACAAACAGTGATCAAAGGATGATCTAATAGATATGCTAAACGATTCATAATTAAGGAAAAATTGCCTAGCCACCCAGGGTACTTTCATCCATGTGAAGATGCTTCCATATATAGGATTATCAAAGATTATCATGTGAGCACTAAGAGTGAAGATGTGAATGTCCATTTTCACAGATAAGCCAAAAAAGAGGAAAAATATAAGAGACTATGCTTCAAAAGACAGTGGTCCTTTTCTTGTTCATTTTTTGTTTAAATGCATTTTATAGATTTTTCTTGATAATACCATTTTTTTATCACCTAGTAGCCCCATAAGTAACAAAAAATGATCTGTACCAGGGAAATGAGTTAAAAGAGAGGTTAAATGGCTTTCCTGGGGGAAAACATTTAATTTATTTGCAAAGCTAGAATAGGGCAAAAGAGAAACTGTTCCTAATGCATTTCTTACACCAATCACAGATGATGCAAAATATTCAGTGATATGAAATGAGTGATTTTATTTTTAACACAGAATCATGTAAATTTTAAGCTACATTAGTTGTTTTGTTCTTGTTGTTCTTGAATTTTAGATTACATTTACAATAATGACATGAGAATAGTAATGTTCCTTGATGGTTGATTTTTTTCCCCAAGGATAAATAGGAAAAAAGCCCACATATTTTTTTTTTAATTATACTTTTCATATATATCTGATATGACAGAGTTACCAAAACTTTTGCATTGTAGATTTACATATTCAGTTCATCTCACATCAAAAGCTGTTCTGTTGGATTTTAAAATGAAGAATATAACATAACTTTTCATTTTGAACTTACTACTTTAGTTACCAAAAAAATTCTGTGAGAGTAATTATACTGTGCATTTCAAATTTTCTTTCATTAGTGAATAAAAGAAAATCTATAATAAGGCTAGAAATGTGTTCTCAGGAAAATATTAATTACTACAATTGCTTAGAAGCTGAGTCATAGGGCCTTTTAAGTTTTTGCCATACACTTGGAAGAAACTTAGTCTTACTGCGTTGTCACATTTTTTACCTCTCAACATTTTGAAAGCACAGTGAATATGAGAAGCTCTCTCATCAGTCATATTATCAGTTTTGTTCAAAAAGTAAAAGGTGCTTCTCCAAACATAGTTTATCCCCAGTAGCTGTCTTACTAGTGTCTGGGGCTTAGGGTTGTTTTGTAGTATCTGCAGAGTCTTCCAGCTCTGCACTCTGTGTTCTCATTGGCTGACCTTCTAGGGAGGGCCAATTATAATGAACTATTTCAGCATATTCTGCTGAGGATTTCCTTAGTATAGACTGGAGCTTTTTGTTCTTGGTGTTCTGTTTTGTTACTTTTTCTCCCCCTCCCCTCCCCCCTTTACAATATGTGAACTACCAGTCTTATTGGCACTGTAATTCAGGTCAAGCTCATAAGGACAGCCACTTCTTCACTGTAGTAGCAGGGCTGACAACTTTTTGTAGAGAAGGGTTTGATTAAGACCAATCATACCCTTCCTAGCCTGGGGAAATCAAACACAGTGGCATTCTTGGCCACCAGGATATAGATAATACCTATTTATATCTCTTAGGTAGATCCAGGAGGACTTCGCCTAGCTATTGTATGATCTATATCACATCTGCCATTTGGTGTAGCAGCCTAGCAAGAACTAGTGCTACCTCAGAGAAGTTTATGTAGTTTGATGAATAAAAAGAGGACCCCTAAGGAAAGGGCTAGGAATATGTAACTGTCAAGAAATGGAGAAATCTTTTATTAGGATGTCAGAGTGCTAAGTGCCTCGGGATTTCCACTCGTTCTGTGCACCAGCAGGTGACCCGGATACTCCCATTTGCCAGCAGAAGCCCACCTGCCTGCCCGTCTGCCTACCTGCCTGCTCTCACACTTTGTTTCTACTATAAGACTCAAGTAATTGGTTCCATCTTAAGCAAGATTATAGTATCATACAGTGGGAAGATCACAGAATGCCTTTAAGTACTTCTATTAAATTTAACACTAAATAAATAAGATAGTATATCTTAATAGTTCAAAAGAATCTCTTCCTGGATGTTAGTATTCTCAGAAAGAAACTGAGAAGGAAATAATAAAGATGATTTCATTTTAGTTCTGGGTACCTGGGCATACCAAGGAGACTCAGGCCTAGGGTGTCATTACTGCATTCCTACTAACTAATGTATCTTAAAATAGCATCTTCTTTATTTAGAGTTACATGGTTAAAAAAAAAAAAGGATTGATTCTATCATATATAGAAAACGGATCCCTCATTGTCTATAGGCTTTGATCAGGAAAGCAGTGGCTCTTCTACTGGCAAATCTTAAATAGCCAAGATTAACTTTTTTTTTCTTTCTTTTTAAAATACTTTATTTTTTTAAGATCAGTTTTAGGTTTACAACAAACTTGAGAGGAAGGTACTGAGATTGCTCATATATCCCCTGACCTCACACATTTATAGTCTCTCCCATTATCAATATCACTCACCAAAATGGTTTTGTTTTTTTGTTTGTTTTTTTTACCAAGGACAAACCTACACTGACACATCATAATCACCCAAAGTGTATAGCTCACCTTGGAGTTCACTCTTGGTGGTGTACATTCTATGGGTGGAAACTTAGATTGCTGGTTTCAGATCTTTCTTTTCTAATATATGCATTCAATGCTATGGATATCCCCCAAGCACTGTTTTCATTACATTCCACAATTTTGATAAGTTGTTTTTCATTTTCATTTAGTCGAAATATTTTTAAATGTCTCTTGAGATTTCTTCTTTAACCCATCTGTTATTTAGAAGTGTTGTGTTTTTTTTTGTGGGAGGGATGAGAATTAATTACTTAACCTTAAAGACATAAGTTTATTTAAGAGCAATGAGGCAACTCTTTTGACTTCTTGGAAGTGTTGCCAAAGAAAATACAGGATTTTCATCCTACATTCTGATTTTATGTTGATAATAAATCATCATGTTTTCTTCTTTTTGCTATTGCAGTACTTCTGTTGCAAAGAATGAGAGTCATATGCTAGACAAGTGAGAGATTATCACTTAAATATTTTCTTAAATTTCAAGTGTCTGCTCTTCTTGTACTGGCAGATAGTAAATAAGGGACTGAAAAAAAGATGAAAGGATTCACACAGGTAATTTTTCACGACATATGCAAGAAGGGGGAAAGAAAATGAGCAAATAAAATTTCATAACTAATTTGAGTCAAACTGCATAAAAGACTGGACAGAAAGAATTCATGTAGATGGTAAATTATAATCACAACAGCATTTCCTTTAGCTGTTGACAAGCTCTTGGTTCATTCTGCAATCATGTACTTTAAAAATGAAAGAAGGGACCAAAAGTGCTTTTGTGGATTTGACCTTGAACTGAAACTGTCATTTGGGTAACAGCAGGCACTATCAAACCTTAGTTTTCATTTGCCATTTTCTTGGTGTCATAAATGCTTCTTTTTAAATAAGTTACATTTTTTTCAGTGATCAGAATTCAGAATCACAGCTCTCTGGGATTGGTGTGAGCACTTTTTTTTTCTTGTAAGGAACTTATGCCAAAGCATACTTACTTTGTTACAGTTATTAGAATTAAATGAGATATTGCATGTAGAGCTTGTGTTAAACACAATGAGTGCTTGATAAATGGTAGTTGTTATTAGCACTTGGTATGGTTGTATTTGTTATTATCTATGCTGTTAGTTATTAGAATAATAAAACCTTCATTTCTTAGTTCTGAAGATCTTAGTTTCTAATCAGATGAAGTAATGTCAAGCACATGGCTTATAGTATTTGTATTTGTCTTGCTACACTACTGTCATTGATTGGTAAATATTTAATAGAATAAAAAGAAAACACACATAATAGGACTCCTCAGAAGCTATAATGTGAATAAACCAGAAATGGCTATTTTTTAGTCAGTTTGCTTGAAGCTGTGATTTAAAAATATATCCAAACACAACTTTGGATGAGGCAGCTGCACTACAAATGACTGAGAAGTTAGAGATGGAAACAAAGACAGTTTAGATCAGAGTATCAAGAGTAGCCTTTGCACAGAAATACCAAGACAGAATTGATGACAATATACACAAGACTGTATATGCTTCCACAAGATCGTAGGAATCATCTAATCCAGTTCCTAGTTTTCTAGATGAGGGGATATTGAATATCTGAGAGATTTGGTGACATGCCCAGGGTTGAGGACAAGATGGAATAACTTTCTGACTCCTAGTTAAATACTCTTTCTATTAAAGCAGAAATACTGTGGGAATCAGCAAAATATCCTAGATGGAGATTTTTGTCAAATTTCTATAACTGGTATCAACTAATAGAGTTCTTACTAGGTATAGGACACTGTACATTTCTCAGTGGGGTTAAACGATTATAGTAATTATATTTTGAAAAAAATCAGTTGAAATTCTCTAATAAAATGAATGCATTGATAAAGCTATCTCCTTATTTTTAAAACTTTGATAATGTGGAAAAGAGTCATATAACTTTTGATAGGTCATTTTCTACTTACTTTGAAGGATGGAGAGTCATTAAACTTAGTTGCTCTAATTTGTACCTTATGCTTATATTAAGTACATTTTACAGTAACTCTGGAAGAATCATTACATTGTGCATATGTGTTTGTGGTAAAACCTTTTAACAAATTATATTAAGTTTACTTCTGATGTTAGGCTGCTTTCTACAGTTTACAGTTACATCAGCCACCAACATTTTCATCTGTTATTTCTAGTTAATAATTATTTTATTCAAAAATAATAATTATTTTATTCAAAAACTATAAATAAAGGCTTAATTCATAGATTCATCCATTGTTTATCTTCAAGGCATAAAACATACAATACAAAGAAAGAAAACTACCCAACATCTGCTTTTGCCCAGATTGTAATTTTCGCTTCTTTGTCTTGTTTTATAGAGCTACATCCATGGGAGCAGCCAGGCTCAATTCGTGGCAGAGTCACACATTATTCTGCTACTAAGTATCCTTTAAAACACAGATGGACTGAAAAGGACAAAGCAAAGCTGCATGCTATCAAATTGATTTTTTTCTAATATCAAGACTTTCAAGACATTAAATTTTAAACTTTACCATTTGACTAACTTTCTAATTCCTATGCTGATTATTTTTTCTTGCATTGTAACTTTTTAAATTCTGAATCATTAACAGACTGTAATTTTCTCTCTCTCTTTTTTTTAACTGACTACTGAATTTTGAAGAATAGCTTTTGCTCTGCATTGATTATCTCTGGCTAGAGTTTTTTGTGATGTTTGTATGGTTTTCCCCTTTAGGATCTTAATGGGGAGAAAAAAGTGTCCCATGATATAAAAAGCAGGATAAAAAAATTATCTTAGTACTGATTCCCTTAAATATTATAGTAAGTGAGAAGAGGGAGATTTAGGACAATTTGACATCTTTTTGGAACATGGCAGACTAAATGTTATGAATCAGATAACAGTACAATTTATGGTTTAGAGGCAGAAGGGTAAAGAAGATAGCAGGATAGGAAAGAGGCAAGGTTCATGTATCTAAAAACAAACTAAATATTACTAGAATGAATTAAGGTTACTTTTGGGGCAAAAAACTGTACTTTGGGGGAACACTGACATTTGTGTGAGTCCTGTGGAAATATTTTTATGTTAAATTTAGTGTTGAAAGTGTTGAGTCATTATCAGGATTTAGAGTGTGCCTTATAGTGTCATTTATAAAATTTGATTACTCTCCTGGTTACTGAGATTCATATTCAAATGAAGCAGTCTAGACCAAATTTCCCAGTATTTGATGTAACCATAACTATTTAAACCTTTAAGGATTCTTAGAACTCACCTAGGCCAAAACTTTATTTTATAGCTAGGAAAACTAAAACCCACAAGATTTAATGGACTTGCCTTAGGTTGGAGGAAGAACTAGGATTAGAATTGTTTTGTTTTGTTTTTAATAGTCTACTGGTTGTACAGGTTTTATATATATTATTGTATTATTATTTATAGGATTTCATTAATGTGTCAGTCATGACATCATGAAGTTTTAAATTTTATTCTGGATGGAAAAGACTATCTTTTAATAGCATTAAAGCTTTGTATTTTAATTACTTTGTTGTGCTATAACAGTGCACTCTTTAATCCACCTAGCAAATATGTATATGCCACCTTTAGTTCTCTTTTACTTGCATAATATGTTCTGGACAGTGCATCAGGTGCCAGGATATACTGAGACTTGTATTAACTATAGTGGAGGAAAGGAGTGGGAGGTTCTTAAAAGCACTCCCAATTCTCAAGAAACTCACAAACTTCCTCATTTGTAAAACCAGGTTTAGTAAACTAACCACATGGCACTTCTCTGTGGAATGAGATAGCTAGCACAAAGAAAACATCTAGTACTCACTAAAGGCTTTGGTTTTTCCTGTTGTATTTTCCCATCTTTCTCACTCAAAACTTTGCTGGTCATAGATACCATGCATAAACATTTATTGGTTGATTCTTTTAACATTTGGCAAAGGCGTAGATGACCAGAAACAAAACAAACAAAACAAAAACATAGTCCTATGGTATTTATCAGAATTCCAAAGGTTACACTGAGAACATAATGGATTAATTTTTCTGGAGTGTGATTCACTGAGCCCATTAATCATGTGTAATTAACAAGATAGTAAAATGATACCTTTGGAAGATCTGACCTTGGAAATGAAGCTTTAAATGAGATTATAAGACTCCATTTTCTATTAGAGGGGAACTAAACACTATCTTTTTGAAACTCAGCAAACAACATCGACCATCTTCTTCCTCTGTATCAGTTCTCAACATTTTTATTCCTTTCATCCTTGGCTACTCATACTTGAGTGCATTTCATGGAACTGTGCATATCTGTAACCCATTCCTTGCATTTACTTAATTACCTAGGTGCTTTGTGGCTTCACAATTAAGAAGGTACTATGATGAGTATTTTTTGCTGCAGTCTATCTCAGATTGTTTACTTAAATGTAGGTATTTCCAATTCCATTCTCAAATTTTGTGGTCTTGATAAGTTAACTACTTGGTTTCTCTTTTCCAGCTTTCATAGGATAAGAGATTAATACTTTCTGCATTCCCTTTAGAGGGAATTTAGGTGAGAAAATAGAATATTTGCAAATACATTTCTCAAATTTTGTGGTCTTGATAAGTTAACTACTTGGTTTCTCTTTTCCAGCTTTCATAGGATAAGAGATTAATACTTTCTGCATTCCCTTTAGAGGGAATTTAGGTGAGAAAATAGAATATTTGCAAATACATTTCTAGGAACATCTCATCCTTATTAAAAAAATTAAGGGTAATGCCATATTTGCTCTTAATTTATCTTTTAATTATATAAGTTAATTTATGAAGTAAAACACATTTGTGTTAAAACACAGTACAGTAATCACCCCCCAAGTCCACAGGAAATACGTTCCAAGACCACCCCCAGTGGATGCCTGAAACTGTGGATAGTACCAAACCCTACATATACTATATTTTTTCCTATACATACATACCTATGATAAAGGTTAATTTATATATCAGGCACAGTAAGAGAATGTCCAAACTGCCAGCATCACTACTCTTGTGCTTTGAGGCCATTATTAAGTAAAAAGGGTCACTTGAACACAAGCACTGTGATCCCACGATAGTTTATCTGCTAACAAGATGGCTACTAAGCGACTAGTGAATGGGTAGTGAATACAGCGTGGATACTCTGGACAAAGGGATGATTGACATCCGGTTGGGACAGGGCAGGAAGGTGTGAGACTGCATCATGCTACTCAGAATGACATTTAAATCTCAATTTAAAACTTACAAATTATTTTGGAATTCTCCATATGATGTTTTTGGACTGTGGGTAACTGAAACCACAGAAGAGAACCTCCAGAAAAGGGGGAATACATATTGGAGGTAACTTTTTGGTACTTATTTGTATGGACTTTTTTTTTTTCTTTTCTATCTGATTTCAATCCATGATGTGGCATTTTAGCAGTATACTTTATTCCAAACAGCCTATAAATACATCAGGAGTACCTAGCAAAAGGAATGAAAAGGTGTGTTGAGACCATCATTCCATTGTATGGCAGGAATTCCCCAAGGTTTCATTTCCAGGCTCATTGACATCAACCTGAGATTTAGGATGCAAAGAAATTTCACAAACATTATGAAGTCTTCCATGTAGATTTTTTTTTTTTAACATCCTTATTGGAGTATAATTGCTTTAACAGTAATACATAGAGTTAAAAGCCCCTATTTTCTTTCTGCTACTAGTAACTATTTGTTGCTTTATCACTCCTGTTATTTTTATTTACAGATATCTATGAAAAGAGAAAATGTCTTTTAAAATGGTGGACTCATTAAAATTATCAGTAAAAGTTTAATAGAAGCCAGTATCTAATAACTTCTTTTTTTATATATAATTTATGATTTTACTTTTCTTTGGCAGAGTCTACCGATATTGTTTAAACTTATCATGTAATGTTTTTGTAATTTGCATGTATATTTTTTCTCTTTAAACAACAACAACAAAAAAGGTAAATTCCAGGTGGTTGCTTTTTGTTTAGAGAACATTTATGCCTTTTGGTTTTCTCTTCCTAATTTAGTAAGCGAGATCATTAGATGCAATTGCTATATACAAAATTGTATGAAAAAAAACCTAAGAAACAACAGATGGAGTCATTTGATATCATAGGTTATTGATTCACATTTAGTAAAAGTAAGATTTTTCCCCCTTTTAGTAGTGTTTTATTTCAGTACCTTATGGGGGGTGGGGGGAGAACAGTCCTAAGTAGTCTTTGAGAGAAAACTATTTTAAAAAGGAATAAAAAATGTTATGACATTTTAATAAGGAATATACGAACTAACTCATATAATCCTTTATATTTTTCCAAGTAAAATATTTTTTTAATTTTTAATTTAGTTATGTAATGAAAATATAAGGTATTTGCTGTTTGCAAGAAGGTAGACTGATAGAGAAATAATTTTAATCTGGTATGACAGATCCTATAATCAGTGCTTGGAAGGAGCGACTTGATGCCTGGAGAATGTGAACGGACTTTTCAGCTGGGTTTTGATACAGCAGAAAAAGGGTTTCTCCCCAGGTGGAGAATGAGTGAGCGAGAATATTCCAGTGGAAGGTGCAACAGGTACAAAAACATAAAATGAGAGAGTATTCTCAAACTGTGAAGGGCAGATTGATGAAAGGTTAGTTGGCTGGATAATGAATATCTTCCCATACCTTGCTAAGAAATTTCAATCACCAAGATATGTTATATGTGCTAGGTGAAGCAAGACACATGAATGAGTTCCAGGATTGGCTTTACTGTCAAGTATACAAATTCTGACCTGTCCCTTAATTCTGCATATCCTCTAAGTTCTGTAATCTCAAGAAGATGACATGAGATTAGTGTCAATTGGAGTAAAAGTTCTGAAATAAAAGGCAAAGGTTTTACTAGCAATAATAACAGTTTTAAAATATTTAAAAACATGTATCCTTACACAGTTCATATTTGCTTTTCCCATGAGAGAAATATTTGTTTTCCATTTATTATGAAAGAGTATGATTTTACTCTGATTTGTTTTCAATCTATAATAGAGAGCAAATATTTCTTTTATTTTAATGTGTTATATCCAAGGAGAAACATACTATAGAAGAAAATTAATGACGGATGCAAGTTGATATTTCAGATTTAGATAGAAGACCAAGTCTTCTATAATGTGCTGACTTTTTTTCAACATTTGTTTGCATTTATCTTTAAATTGACAGTCCCGATTCTCTTCCTAGGAGCAACAGTAAACCCAACATCATGTGCAATTGAGATTGGATTATAATGTAATGCAAATGTATGTGTTACCAGTTCAGTAGGATGCTCATTGCCTCTGGGTTTTGTATATAATTTACACAAACAGCAACTTCTGTTTTATGTAAGATCATATCAGTATTTTGACTTTTTTCGTGGTAAGAAGGTGATTGACAGGATAAAGAGAG